ACCCGCGGTTCCCTTCTGCCTCAGTTCCCTCAGGGTGGATGGCGTGGGCGACCTGTGGGGCGGTTCCTGGGCCACCAGACCTCAAGCCAGCCAGTGTCCCCTTCCAGGAGGCCGAGCTGGACCGAGTAAAGAAGGTGCGGGAGCTGGAGCTGATCTACGCCCGCGCCCAGCTGCAGCTGGAGGTGAGCAAGGCGCAGCAGCTGGCCGACGTGGAGGCGAAGAAGTTCAAGGAGATGACAGAGGCTCTGGGCCCCGGCACCATCAGGGACCTGGCTGTGGCTGGGCCAGAGATGCAGGTGAGGCCCCAGAGACGCAGGAGGAGGGTGGATGCCAACGCATTTGGGGAAATGCTGGAGGATGCAAAGGGCTTGGGAGTGAACTGGCCACACCCGAATCAGGCACCGCCCTAAACCCTGCAGAGCTAGCGCTGCTAGGGGACAGTAACAGGTGAGACCTTCGCACCTTAAAGAGAGTCAGGAAGGCCGGTATGGTTAGGAGGGCCCCTCTGAAGCCCAGCCCGCTAGGGAGACAGCTGAGATACAGTTTCTGACTCTATCCTTCCACCCCGCAGGTGAAACTTCTTCAGTCCCTGGGCCTGAAATCCACCCTCATCACAGATGGTTCTTCTCCCATAAACCTCTTCAACACGGCCTTTGGGCTGCTGGGGCTGGGGGCTGATGGTCAGCCACCAGCACCAAAGTAAGATGGCTGGCCCAGCCTGGGGAAGGCTGGCCAAGTCCCCCCTGCTCCAGTATCTTTGAAGCAGCCAGGCTGTGCCTTAGGTCGACAATGACTGCACTGACAATTGATAAAAATAAACTGATAATTTTGGAAATTTAAATTTTTTTTCTGTTACCTCTAGCCTGGGTGACAAGGGAGCTTACTGGTGAAGAGAAGATGCCCCTCAGATCTTGACATAATTACTGGAACTATTCTGGTCTCCAAGGAAACAATCAGGGAGAAAACTAACCCGAAGCCACAATGATAAGCATGCGACCCAAAGCCTTCCAAGCCGGCTGCCCTTTTTTAGACTCCAGGTGGGAGGGGATAGTGCTGCAGGGGAGCTCTGTTGGGTCAGGCCATACTGGGACCACAACTCACACTCACAGCTGATGCTTCCATGAATCCTGGCCACCCAGTTGAGGAGTCTCCCTTAGGCTGCAGAACCTTGCCATTGGAGACTCTCCTTTGCCGCCACCTGCTGGCCTCCCCATGCGCCTGCAGCACCAGCCACAGTGCCAGGCTTGCACAAGGCACCTGTGTACTTGTTCCCTCCTAGATAAAATAAGGCCACCAGACTGGGGAAGAGGACTCTGCCAGGGGCAGCAGGATCTAGGGAACACATTGAAGTCTCTGGTCCTGGCTCCTTCTTTTGTTTTTCAAGACAGGGTTGCAGCCGGGTGTTGGTGGTGCACGCCTTTAATCCCAGCACTCGGGAGGTAGAGCGAGTTCCAGGACAACTTCCAAAACAATACAGACAACCCTGTCTCAAAAAAAAAAAAAAATCAAGACAGGGTTACTCTATGTAGCTTTGGAGCCTGTTTGCCTCTGCCTCTGTCTCCCGAGTGCTGGGATTAAAGGCCTGTGCTCTTAAGGAGCACTGGGGTCCCTTCTTTCCTATCTGCCCCTCAAAATTTAGCCAAACTTGTAAAGGGTCTTTATTTGTCGAAACCCTGTGGGCTCGGTCAGTTTGGGGACAGCAGTGGAGGCTCCAGGGGTGCTGGTTTGGGAACGCCGGTGGTGGCTGCAGGGGTGCTGGTATTAAAGCCAAGCGGAGTCTTAGTGGTCCGTCCTGCCCGGTCACCACTGTAGAAGTAAAATGATCCTGGAGTGGAGAGAGAAATTTGGCCCCGTTCCCTGAAAGTAACCCAGCCTCTCCCATCTCCTGCCATTTGTGAAATGGGCCTGTGGTTTCCCAGCTAAGCAAGGTTGGAGATAACGTTTTCATCCCTTTTTCCTCACTAGAGGAAAGCGTCATTCACGAGCCTTGCTTCTTCCCGAGTGTTTCTGAGGGGCATTTGTGTGGTCAGTGTCTCTACTAAAGTCTAAACTTGACGAGAGCAGGGCTCTGTCCATATTAGCTCCCAGCACTGGGCCATTCTGACTTGACTGTGTGTAAAAGTCCCTACCCCCAACCTCCCAAGCTTTTCCTCAGAGAACTAATTAATTTAAAGTTCTTCAACTGGTGCCGGCTGTGTATTAAATGCTGTGTTTACCAAGGGCCTCTAGGGACAAGTGACACTGTGCACGTCCCTTCAGGCCTCAGCTATGGCTCCCAAGGCTGTCCTCTGACTGCTCTTACCATTGCCCGTACCCATACCACCTTGGAAAACTTCACTTGTTCATTGCCTAACTTGGATCCTGGGCTCTGTCCCTACAAGTCACTCAACCAAAACCCGTGACTCCCATGTCTTCCTAACCTTTGTGATATTTAGTGGGAAAAGACCCTCCCACACGCTCTCCCCATGGCAATGTTGGGTAAGGAACTGCAAACGCCCCATCCCTGAGGTATACCCCCAGCATTCAGCATTTGCCCCTCCTCTCCCTTCCTTCACCCCTGTCTTTCTCTCCTCTCCCTTTCTCTAGCCCCCCACATCCTCTCCCCCCCCCTTTGCTTCCTTCGAGACAGGATCTGACCATGAGCTCAGTCCTCCAGCCTCACCATCCGGAGGTTAGGATCACTGGCATGTGTCACCTGCTGTCCACCAGCTCCCCGCCTTCTCTCTGTAGCCCCAGCCCAGCTGCTTGTTGCTAGAGACCCCAGCACGTGACCATTCTAATTAGACTCCAGTCACAATGCCAGGGAGGCCTGCTCCCCCTCACGCTCTTCTCCCAGACACCATCCCTACAGAGAACACTCTTCATCCTCCTCTTCTCACCCTCCTCCTCCCCGCCCACCTTTTCTCACCTCTTTGAAAAAAATAGAAGCAAACCGGGCAGGAAGGCTCTCTCCCTCCCAGGCGCTGATCAACAGAGCAGCTGAACTGTCTGTCCTAGCCTCAGTGCCCACCAAGGACTCCTTACCTGGGCCCTAGATCCCACCATGTTGCCCTGAGGGCTGACTCCTAAGCCCTGCCTCGGCAGCAGTAACTCTTCCTCTCTTCTGAGCCCCAGCCATCCGTCTACGGATCCCTTCACCTCTGAGACACAGAACAAACAGGTAAAAGCCATTCCTTGTTAAGAGCATGCGAGTCTGAGATTGGATTCCAACCCCAACCCTGAAGGTCAGAGACAGGATTGCTGGGACTTGCAGACCAGCTAGTGTAGTCATAAAACTGCAAGAGGTAGACCCTGTCTCAAGCGAATAAGGTGGCGATGCCTTCTGACCTCCACAGGTTTGTGCACCATGGACGTGTGCCCACCCCCCAAAAAATCCCAACAACAACAGAAGTAGCCAGGCGGTGGTGGCGCACACCTTTAATCCCTGCACTCAGGAGGCAGAGGCAGGCGGATCTCTGTGAGTTTGAAGCCAGCCTGGTCTACAGAGAGAGTTCCAGGACAGCCTCCAAAGCCACAGAGAAACCCTGTCTCAAAAAACAAAACGCCCAAAAAATCAGAAGTGCTCTCCACGCCCTATACCTTCCTGTCTTACCTTTCCTCGTTGTCCTCCCAGCCAGATTCCCCAGAGTTCTCTGTGGTCTCAGTTCCCATTCCTCACACCTCGTGACTTTTCAGATTGTCCTCCTTAATGCATCTCCACTTTGTTTGTTTTTTGTTTCGTCTCCCAAGTGCTAGGATTAAAGGGTTTCAGCACCACCACCTAGCTTCTCCACTTCTTTTTTTATTTTATTTATCTTTTACAGAAGGGTTTGCTTTTTGTTTTTTTAATATTTATTTTATTATGTATACATAATATTCTGTCTGCATGTTTCCCTGCAGGCCAGAAGAGGGCACCAGATCTAATTACGGACGGTTGTGAGCCATCATGTGGTTGCTGGGAATTGAACTCAGGACCTCTGGAAGAGCAGTCAGTGCTCTTAACCTTTGAGCCACCTCTCCAGCCCCTCTCCACTTTTTAAAATATTTTATTTATTTTATATATATGAGTGCTCCATCTGCATGTACTTTTATTCCCCACTATAGATGGCTGTGAGCCACCATGTGTTTGCAGGGAATCAAACTCAGGACCTCTGGAAGAGCAGCCACTACTTGTATGAGGTTATTCATTCAGCCTGAATGAACGCAACTGATTTCCTAGAGCAGTTGAGACCAGCCTGGGCTATATGAGACCCCCGTCTCAAAAAACTAAACAAAGAAATCTGGTGCCAGGTAGTGACATGCACCCACAGTCCCAGTGACTGAGATGGGAGCCTCATTTGAACCTAGAAGCCAATACTGTTTCAAGAAATACACATTCACTAGGTATGGTGGTACATCCTAGCACTCAGGAGGCAGAAGCAAAAGAATTAGGAACTCAAGGCTACATGAGACCATCTCAAGAAAAAAACAAAACCCAAACAAAAAAAACCTCCAAAAACAGCTAGGCATTGGTGGCGCACGCCTTTAATCCCAGCACTTGGGAGGCAAAGGCAGGCGGATCTCTGTGAGTTCGAGGCCAGCCTGGTCTACAGATCGAGTTCTAGGACAGCCTCCAAAACAATACAGAGAAACCTTGTCTGGAAAAACCAAAACAAACAAACAAACAAACAAAAAAACCCCAACAACAAAAACCCAAAAGCCTTGGAGCTGGGAGACAGCTCAGTGGTTAAGAGCATCAGCTGCTTTTCCACAGGATCCAGGTTCAATTCCTAGCATCACCCATATGGCAGCTCTTCACTGTCTGTAGTCCAGTTCCAGTGAATCCAACAAAGACATGTAGGCAAAACACCAATGACATAAATCATAAAAAAACCCTAAAACTAACCACAAACCCTTAAGTTGGCATGTAATAGTGTAAACCCAGAACCTAGAGGCCAAAGCAGGAGGACCAGGAGTCCCAGGAGGCACAATGGGGTGGGGTGCATGCTATAGGTGACCATTCTCTTCAAAGACCACCCATCTTTCCATGAGTATTTATTAAGCAGCTACCACATTCCAGGCTAGTTTTCACTCTAGGCATAGACAAGAAAGACGTCTGCTCTCCTGAAGTTTACATTCTCATGAGGGTGGAAAACATAAGGTTACAGTTAAAGTGGCCAGCCAGGGACATACAGCAGGTGGGCAGACAGCGCTCTGAAGGCCGACAGGGCCTCTCTAAGGTCACAGGAATGAATGACAGGGAGCAGCCAGCCACCTGCTTTGGGAAGAGCATCCAGGTGGATCTTTTACACCTAGTTCCCTTTAACCCCTGGCCCTCATCTGAGAATGTCTTAAAGTAAACAAGTCCAAAAAGAGCGAAAGTCTCCCCTTTATTAAGGAGGCTTCTAAAGCAAGAGGGCAGGACAGAGGAGTTTGCCTCAGGGAAGGATCTAGCTGGCCCCTGGCCCCTTCCCTCCTGGGCTGGTAGCCCAGGCTTCCTTGGCACAATGGCATCAGTCTGATTCTTCTGCCTTTCGGGAAACCTGGCACCCATACATCTCCCTCCCTCACATGTCCCCAAAATCTCAGGCCAGGCCAGGGCTGAGCCAGCAGGATGTGTGGCAACACCCACTCCGAAGACAGGCCTCCTGGAGCACCAGCTGGACGGGTGGGGCCTCCTGAGCACTGTCCCTGCTTTGCAGTGCCAGGTCCTCGGGGTCACGGGCATGGGTCTGGTCCTCAGGATTAAAGACAGTGATAACACCAAACAGAGGTTGACCCCCATCCCAGCAGGTTAGAGAACACAAGAGAAGGACATGACACTAGGACCTCTTAGGAGGAGGAGGAGGAGGAGGGGAGCCATGTGACACAGTAGACGCCCAGGGCAGGTGGGCAGCTGGGGGGCAGGCGGGGGTCATTTCTTCTTGGCACGGTCTGCCGCATCCAGAGCAGCCATGTTTCTCGCAGCTGTGATGAGGTGGATGACACTAATGATGGACTTGAGCAGGGCGATGGGAGCTGTGATCCAGAGGCCCATTCGGAAGAGCCCCACAGAGCCGACTATGGGGAGGCGGAGAGAGGGAAGAACATAGCAGGGGATGGCAGAGGTCGAGACTGAGGCCTCTTTCCCCGCAGGCAGGGCAAGGTGGAACCCCAACCCACCCCCTTCTCTTACCTAGCGGCCCCTCGGAGAAGCTGAACAGGTACAGGAGGCAGTAGAAGAGTTCATTCCCAGCACACAGGGTGAACAGAGCGGGCTGCACACAATATAAGACTGTCTAAGATGCAGGGCCGTGTCTCTACTTTAACCCACAGGGATGGCAGCCACACAGGAGAATGCCTCTCAGCCACGTACACTGCACCCTACTGCACCCTTCTTTAGTGTCTGTCTGTCTGTCTGTCTGTCTGTCTGTCTGTCTGTGTCCTCTCTCCTTCAGAGCCTCACTCTCACTGCTGCAAGGAGGATTCACCCAGACTCCCACCAATTATCCTTCACCAGGCCTCAGCCGAGGACTATCCCTGCTTAGATGGCCCTGCCAGCCACTCTCTCCTGACCAGGGTCCAGCCTAAGACTTCCCATTTTCAGACAGAGTGGGGTGCGGGGGAGAGTGCTCACCCGAGAGGTGTAGTAGACCCGAAGCACAGGGTTCCCAGATAGGTCGATCATCTTGTGGCTCTCACTGCCTCTCACCACAGAGCTTGAGGAGAAAATCATGAGACTTCATGAGCTTCCACTGCCACCAAATCCATCCCATTATCCCACGACTGACATTGCCTCTGCTGTAGGGAGGAGCTGGTGTGAAGCTGAAAACTGCATCTGTTCAAAGCTTTCTACTTCCCTAAGTGGGGGCAGACTCAGGATTAAATGCCCCACCATAAGGTGGCCAAGCTTCTCCCTGAATTTGGAATCCAAAAACATCCAGCCAGACCCATGCTAGAAACTGCTTAAGCCACCTGTAAAATTGTCAAGTCCATTCAGAGACACAGCACCCACCCAGGGCCTTTAACAAAACAAAATTTAAAGAGGCCTCAGCTAAGGGCAGGGCCACACTGGCATATGATTCCAGCACTCAGGAGGCTGAGGTGGGAAGACTGTCATGAATTTGAGGCCTACTGGGCACACACTAAATTCTAGGCAAGCCTTGGGCTGCTGTCTCAAGGGGAAAGAAAAAGGAAGACCTCTCCCAGGGAGCCTGAAGTCATTCAGTCTCCGCTTACTGTAGTGCCTTCCACCCCCCAGCACCTCCAGCTTCAGAGCAGACCTGTGCAGATGCAGCCAGTGGCTGGCCACGTCCAGACTCATGCTGAGCTGGAAGAGAAGGGTGGCTCGAGGGTATAGAAGGGCCAGGTTGACCAAGAGACACATGGTGGAACAACGGTCCGTCAGCATGTCGAGCATGGCCCCAAACCGGGTTCCTGAAAAATAATTAAGTTGAAAAAATTAAGTTGGAGGGACTGTTTGGTATAGTGGATCACTACATCTGGCACTACCATCTGGCCTATCACGCGGGGCCAGAGTAGAAAGGAGTTTGAAAATGTCTACCATCTACTGCTTGAGCAGGCTGCTGTCATGGATGGTGAGGCTAGTAGGATGAGGATGATGAGGACAAGAAATGAGAAGGCACAGGGCTGTGGCAGGAGAAGCTGCTGGAGAAATAGAGAAGCTCTATCTTCAGTCCCTCTCATCCAGAACCAAGGCCCCAAGAAAGGCAAGCAGATCCCAGGTCTAAGGGGCAGTTTTCTCCATGGACCTGGAACTCATTAGTCAGAGCTCCAAACACCACCTGCTTTCCCCCACCCTGCTCCTACCCCTTCTGGAGTCCCTGCTCTCTGTGACTAGTACATAGTAGCCCCTAGTAAATGCCTGTTGAATGGAATTTTTATTTTATCTTCTTACATTTCTAAAGCTTATTTATCTTTTGTTTTATGGTATGGGTGTTTGTCTACACATATGTATGTGTATCACATGTGTGCCTGGTGCCCACAGAGGCCAGAAGACAACGCTGGATCTCCTGGAACTGAAGTTATAGGTGGTTTGTAAGCCACCACGTGGGTCCTGTACAAGAGCAGTAACATTTCTTTTGTTTGTTTGTGACAGGGTTCTCTGTGTTAACAGCCACAACTGGAGTTCACTCTGTCACCAGGCTGGCCTTGAACTCAGAGCCTGCCTCTACCTACTGAGAGCTGGGATTAAATTGTGCTTAGACACTACCACCCAACCAGGCAGTTAAGCTTTCTAAACTTATCCTCCGAGCCATCTCTCCAGCTCCAGTGACTTTTATTTTTGCAGGTCTTTGCTGTGTAGCCCTGGCTCACCTGGTACTCAATATGCAGCCTAAGAGGACTTTTGATTTGGAGCAATCTTTCTGTCTGCCTCTCCAGTGCTGGAATTACAGGCAAGAGCCACCACGCCTGACCCGAAGGGAATTTATCCAGAGAGACCTCTTCCATTCACACCGCTATGTCCAGTTTAGGTCATACTGCTAAGTCACACCCTTCATAAGCCGTGAATAGTCGGTACTCAAGATCAAGCTTAAATCCCAGGCTTAAATCCCCACAAAAACCCTGTTTTGTTTTCTTACAGAGATGGGGATGAAAGAACCATCACCTCTGAGGTCTGGGAAAGCAAGAAAAGGGTAGGGGAATGTTGGGTCCCCAAGTGGTGGTGGTAGAATTCTGTCACCTTGATTAAGGGTTCGAGCTGCGTGTCCATCGAAGGCGTCTAGAAGTCCACTGAGTAGATAGAAAGAGGAGGCCGTGAAGGGGCAGCAGGGCATAAAGTAGAAGGAAATGATGGCGAAGACAATCCGGGCATAACCTTGGGACAGGAAGGGAAAGGGACAGGTTGTGATCGGGGAGCCAGCTCACGGTCCCTCGCCTTCCGCTGGTGTCGGGGCCGCAGACAGTACTCACCGATAAGGTTAGGCACGAACAAGAAGATATTTTCCTCTGGCATCCTGGCGGTTCTCCTTGTCGCCCTGGCCCAGCTCTGGAGGTGCAAGGACTTGTCCCAGTCTCACGAGCGCGGCCTCACCTTTCAGCCCGGAACATCAGCCGCTCCACCTGAGCCCTGGGCCCAGTTCCCCCGCGCAACCCCAGCTATTAGAGCCCGCAGGGCGCCAGGGCGCAGGACACCCCTGGGCGCAGCTCACGCACACCTGGTCTTCCGATGGGCAGGAGCTGCCGTCTCCAGCAGCTGGCTCTGTTGCTGGTTGCGCCCGGCTCCCCTAAGCTTACTCTTCTGTCGGGGACGTTAACAGCATCGGAAGAAGGAGAGAGCGGCTTTTAAATATAAATAAATAAATAAAATACATAGTAGCTGAGGCCCCTTTAAGGCCGGCCTGCTTCCTTTTCCTGCCGGCGCCCCTTGGCTTCGGCTCGTACCAACGCACCAAGGGAGGGAGGGAGCTGAGAGCCATCCGCAAAGGAAGGAACTGGAAAGGGAGAAGCAGAAGAGACCTGAAAGAGAGTCTTCATTTTGCATTTTACAGAGGGCGTAAACTCCTGGAAGCAAAGGTAAGGCGGTGAGATTCCGACGTCCCGAGTCTGAGCCTCCCCGAGAAACCGGGCGACTTAGTACAGCCCACATCGCTTCCCCGCCCGCTACGGCTGCGGCCTCGATCGCCCTCCCCGACCCAGGCTGGGAAGAGATGGCTAGAGAGGCTCGGGGCGCGCCTGCCTCTTGCTTCTAGCGCCGCCCTGGTGGTGGGAGGATTAGAGCCCAGGTTCCACCCTACGTCATCTCCCAAAAGCCTCGAAATAACGCTGGGGTCACCACCTCCAAGGAGGAACCTGGAGAGCAGTCGTGGCACGCTAGGAAAATGTCTTTAGTTCTAGAACCTCCAGTATCCTAGCAACGGAACTGTAGAACCTCCGCAAACATTTAGGTCTTTATAGCAACCCTGAGCAGCGCTTCCCTGGCTTTCCCTCTTTCCAACCTTCCTCCCCAACTCCAACTCCCTATCCCCTGAGGCCCATCATAGAGTCCCCTTAGACCCTTCCGTCTCCCCTCCCGCCGAGTAGCCCAAGATTTCAACCTATCTGCCAGGTCGGGGGCTGCATGTTGGCTGCCTTGCTTTAGGAAAAGCCTTGGCAGAGAAGCAGGAAGAAGTGCTTTGGAGGAAATGGGGGAGGAAGTTACTCTATGAGCCCTTCCCCTCAAACTTATAGGCAGAACAACAAACTTTTTCAGGGACAGGACTGAGACAGTGGGGTGTTTGAGCTATAGGCATGGACTAAATGTGGGCCCAGGGAGATGGGGTCTGGGGGGGAAGTTTCTCAGTCTTAACACAAACTTTGTTTCTAGGGGGATGGCATCCACATCTGCCAGGAATGGGGATAGAAAGGACAGCTGGCCATCTCAAACTTCAGCCTCCTTAGGTGGAGCGCAGGTGAACAACAGTGGGAATGTGACGGAGGGGAGGGAAGCGAGGCAGGTAGTCTTGTTCTAAGCCATGTACCTTTATCCTTAATCTTGAAGCCTCACAGACTGCATTCTGGGTCTAGGGCCTTCCAGTCGAATCACACAGCTCAACCTTCTAATACCAATTCCTCAGCCATGGAGCCCGCAGCCTGGAAGACACCACACTGGTGGAAATTTGCTGGCTGAGTTCTAACTTCCTTTCCAGAAAGTCTCATTATCCCGGTCTGAAGAATTCCTGACCCAGATCAGCACAGAACTTACTGATGAAGCCCTGTTTATTGCTCGCTCCCACTTGAACTCTGTGCCCATGAATGAAAAGCAGACAAAAGACCAAGGGACTCAGATATCTAGACATGGTGAATTTTCCCTCTTCTTACCAGTTCCTGACGCCTTCCAGCCATAGCCGACCTCCCCAGGAATCTGCCCATTTTCCCTCCTATGTCCTATGTACAGTGCTCCTTACCCTGTAACCCACTCATTGTTGCTAGCCGGGAGCCCCTTGCCCCCTCCACTCTAGCCACAACTCTTTCTAACCATAGGGAAAGTCCCTTCTCTAATTGGAGCCTCTATTTCCAGTGTTCGTCAACAAAACCCGCGGCACAGACACGCGGTAAGTGAGCCTCTGTCCTGGGAGAGGGGTGAGGAGCCTGTTGGGGGAGAGTAAGGATTTATAACATCCCAGTAGGGTAGGGGGAGTTTTGAACCATGCAGTTCTATTCCATCCCTTCCTGATCCTGCAGTTTACGATGCTCAGCCTTCTCTCTTTTCTTCTGCCATCTCCAGCTCTGACAGAAATCGCACCCGCACCAAGGCACACCTTCTGCCATCTCCTCGTGAAAAGGTTTGTATAAGATCATTCAGTTTCAACATTTCCAGTTTCCACTATGTGCCACTCCCTGTGCTAGGAGTTTGGGACACTCAGAATGCACAATATAGACTCAGCCCTTGAAGAATTCAGGGGTTTGTTTGTGATAGGCTCTCACTATGCAGCTTAGTTGACCTGACATTTGCTATGTAGACCAGGCTGACCTTGAACTCACAATGATCCGCCTGCCTCTGCCTCCTCAGTGCTAGGATCAGAGGCATGCTCCACCATTCCCAGCAGAATTCAGTTTAGAATTAGGCCAGGCCAAGTTAATGGCCGATGACAACATAATATAGAATGGTGCTGCCTAAGAAGAGAAAACAGTAAGACAGTTTTTGCCTCATCCTCAACTGGGCTAGGAAGGAAAGGTATCACGGAGCTTCCTGAAGAAGGTAACAGGGGTTAAGAGCACTGGCTGCTCTTCCAGAAGTCCTGAGTTCAATTCCCAGGTCCCACATGATGGCTCACAACCACCTGTAGTGAGATCTGGTGCCCTCTTCTGGCCTGCAGACATACACTCAGGCAGAAGATGGGGAGTAGATGGATGAGTTGAAGGCACACGGGTAAATGGGTGAGTGGATCTGTTGACTGAGCATGTGCTGAGCACTTGCTGTATGGCCAGCAGCACTGTCCTGCAGTACAGCACCTGCAGTAAAGCCCCTGCTCTCCACAAGTGGGAGATGGAAGCCATGTGAATGGGTGAGCAGTGGATGGAGCTGAAGGGTGCGGCAGGGATGATGGACAGCTTTGTACATGAGTGGATGGAATGAGGATGTAGGTGGATGTGTGCGTGGAGAGGTGGCTTAGGAGAGAAGTGGAGCATGGTGGCTATATTCAAGGGTGGTACATGGCTCGGATGGCTGGTGAAGGAAGGACAAGGCAGGCTCCTTAAGAGAAGACTCAGCAGCCCTCTCTCTTCCAGGGACCACTCCCTAACAGCCTGACAACTGGAGGATGAGCCCTACTCTCCCTACTGCTGCACTCTCGGCCTCCTGCCCTCCCCAATTTGCCCCTCAGTGAAAGCCTCAAAGCCCCTCTTTTGCAACTAGCTAAACACCTCATCTTGGGAGGAACTCCTGGTCATCAGCAATGCCACCTTTGAAACCAACGACGTCTCTGGACCTGTTGCAGGACTTCTCCACCTTCCATGGGCAATACACTACTGAGGAGAAAGTTTTAATAAAGAGCCAGGAACCCTCCCTTCCCCCACACAGCAGAGTGTTCTGGAGTGGCTTCTGGAGGGGGCATGCTTTTCTTCTAGAGGGCATAGTGCACGTCAGTGTGTTCCTGGACTCTAATTGTCAGCCACCTGCTGGACCCAAACCGTTCTCTAGCATCTTGTGGCTAGCTGCTTCACGCAGTGGGCCACTCATGCTGCCTTCGCTGTCACCTTGGGCTCTGAGCTTTTGGGGTCTCGTGTCTATGAGAGCATGCAAACTTGATACCAGACAGAAGGTGGGGCAGAAGGCTCTGAGGAGTTTGTTTCAGGCCCCGTTTGGCCACTTATTCGGCCCTCTGAAAAAGTCCACTCACCTCTCTCAAGCTTAGTTTCCTTAATTGAAAGCTGAGTAGCCGGGTGGTGGTGACGCACAACTTTAATCCCAGCACTCGGGAGGCAGAGGCAGGAGGATCTCTGTGAGTTTGAGGTCAGCCTAGTCTACAGAGTGAGTCTAGGACAGCTAGGACTACCTAGTGAGACCCTGTCTCAAAAAAACAAAAAACAAAAAGCCCAAACAACTAAACAAACAAAAAAACTCTGAGTAATCAGTTACTCCAGTTTTTGTTTGTTTGTTTTGTACTTTGGGTTTTTTGTTTGTTTGTTTGAGACAGGGTTTCTCTGTGGCTTTGGAGGCTGTCCTGGAACTAACTCTTGTAGACCAGGCTGGCCTCGAACTCACAGAGATCCGCCTGCCTCTGCCCCCCCCCCCAAGTGGTGGGATTAAAGGCGTGCACCACTAACGTCTGGCCAATTACCCCAGTTTTACACGGCCCTTACAAGGATTAAAAAGAAAAAAACAACAATGCAAAATGGGTATGGCAGCAATGCCTATAATCCCCAGCATTCAGTGGGCAGAGGCAGGAAGATGGCCTCCAGCTCATAGTATTAAGTCAGTGTGGACGACACAGCAATGTCCTGTCTCAAAAACAAAAAAAATGAAGAAACCAACCACAATGCATATAGAATCTTACTGACTCAGCAGGCTGCTGATGGAGGCTGGGGTTCAAGACCAGCATGGACTACATGGTTAGGCCCTATCTCAAAAACAGAAGTATTCACCATAGAAGCTGTCTCATGTTTACTTAAGCTGTAATCAAGGCCAGTTTGCCCAATAGTCCTCGTTTGTCATAAAAATCCTCCAGATGTTCAGTTTGAATACATGATTTCATGTTAGTAAAATTCTGTTAATTTGAAGAAAAAGCTAGACAAATAAGCTGGTTGGGAGTATAACTCACATGACCTACTTATATGAGTCATCCTGGGCTCAATTCAGAACCAAAAGGAGGCTCCAGTCTGCATATATATATCAAACATGATAGGGGAAAAGGGGGAATTCTTGACAGATATGTAATAGCTGGTGTGTTTAACGTGCCAGGAAGCTGGGTACCGTGGTATGCACATTTAATCTCAGCACTTGAGAGGTGGCGGCAGGGCTTCAAATTCAAGATCACCCTGGAGCAAGACATAGTGATACACGCCTTTAATCCCAGCACTTGGGAGGCAGAGGAAGGTGGATCTCTGTTAGTTTAAGGCCAACCTGATCTATAGAGTAAGTTCTATAGATCTAGGCCAGTCAAAGATACGTAGTGAGAACCTGTTTAAAAAAAGACCAGTCTGGGCTATAGCAAGACCATCTAAAAACAGTAATAGAGACAATACACCACAAAAGATCAGGAGAAAGAACACAATACATAAGTGTATACAAATATTTTCAAAAGGGGAAAGTGCTCATGAAACGAGTGGAAGGCTTGCTGCTCCCTGGGTCTGTGAATGGGCACTGGCTCTTCTAGCTGAGGAGCCTAGCAGGAGCTAGTGGAGAGGCCAGCTGTCCCGGCCAGCTCTCTACAGGGTTAGCTTCAATCCAGGCTTGTTTTAAGATGGAGTCTCACTATGTCGTCCTTGCTGGCTTGGAACTTGCTGGGCTCAAATTCTGCCTGCCACTGCCTCTCAGGAGCTGAGACTAATGGTGCTCACCAGGCTTTTGGGCTCCAGGCAAGCACCTGGGACAGTTTTGGATTTCCATTTTCCTCCAAATCCACTCCAGAGGGCTCCTTACCATTGCCCCAACACCTTGAGGCGCACTTTCCCAGACTCACCAGATCAGTTACAAGTGGTGACTTTCTGTTTATTGCTCAAAAACAAGAACTCAGAAGCAAATAAAGGTGGAGAGTGTGGGAGGGGAGACACAGGGAAGGGATGGGACTCGGCCCACCCCTCCCTCCACCCTTCTCTTCTCACCCGTAGAGGCCCAGCAGCAGTAGGCATCTGGGGTAGGGAGTCTTCATGGCCATGGGGACAGTAGAGCTGGGAACAGTTCTTGAGTGGGGCCCCAGGCTGGAGGGGCCCCAGGAATTGCAAGGGGCCGAGTTCCCTTCCCTGGGTCCAGAAGTCAGTAGGATGGGGGTGGAAGGCCCCTTGTTTGGCAACTAAGAAGAGGCGGCTTTGGGCAGCAGGATGCTGGTTTACTGTAGGGTCTCCAGGGCCAAAGCCCCCTCATGGGATGGGAAGACTATTTACACAGCAGGCGGGGAGGGGAGCCAGAGACCAGGTCCTATGCTCCTCACTGCCCAGAATGAGGAGAGAATGGGGAGGTCCTGGATCCTGCAGACTGAGACTTGGGGTTCAGATGGAAACTTCATACTCCCTTGTATCCTGAAGATAGACAGAGCAAATAAACTGGAGTGAGCAGGAGGTGAAGAGACACCACAAGTAGGAGGAAGACATATTTGAGCTGAGTCTGGTGGTACCAACCTGGGAGTCTAGCTACTAGGGAAATGGAAGCAAGAAGATCACAATTCAAGGCAGGCCTGAGCTACAGAAGTAGTTCAAGGTCAGGCTGGGCAATGTAAACCCTTTTTCAAATCAGAGAGGACTGGGAGCCAGGCATGATGATGCCCACCTTTAATCCCAGCACTTGGAGGTAGAAGCAGATGGGGTAGGCGGGATTGAGGCCAGCCTGGTCTACATAGAAAGACCCTTGTCTCAGAATAAAAAGAGAGTCAGACACTAGAGATGCCATCCGATGTCTAGAGCTTGCCAACTGTGTAAAAGGCACTGTTTAATCTCTAGTACCACACTCTCTCAAAAGACCATGTTATTTTGAGACAAGGTCTTGCTATATAGCCCTGGCTGTCCTGGAACTCCTTAGGTAGACCACCCTCAAACTCAGAGATCTGCCTGCCTCTGCCTCTAAATTAAAATAGTTGAGCCATCACACCCAGCAAGACCTTCGTATTTAAATTAATATAGAGGGCCTGGAGATATGGTTCAGCAGTTAAGAGCACTGGCTGCTCTTCCAGAGGTCCTAGGTTGAATTTATAGCACTCACATGGTGGATTACAACTGTCTTAACTCCTGTTCCAGGGCATCTGATGCCCTCTCCAGTCTCTGAGGGCATTTCACGTACTTGGTATACTGACATGGCGGCAAGCAAACACCCATACACATAAAACAATTTTAATTCTGGTTTTGTTTTTTGAGACAGGGTTTCTCCGTGTAGCTCTGGTTGTCTTGGAACTCACTCTAATAGACCAGGCTGGCCTTGAACTCACATAGATCCACATGCCTTCGCCTCCTAAGTGCTGATATTAAATGTGTGTGCCATCACTACCCAGCTACAATTTTTAAATTTTTAGAAAATGTTTTTTTTCTTAGTAATTATTTCCAGTCAGATGTGGTAGTCCACATTTTAATCCCAGCACCCAGGGCACAGAGGCAGGCAGATCTCTGAGAGTTCCAGGCCAGCCAGGGCTATATAGTGAGACCCTGTCTCAAGAGAGAGAGCGAGGAGAGAGCCAGCAAGAGAGAGAGAGAGAGAGAGAGAGAGAGAGAGAGAGAGAGAGAGAGAGAGAGAGAGAGAGAGAGAGAGAGAGAGTTTTCCCTGGGTTGACTCTAGCTACTATATATGTTTGGTTGTTTGATTTATCCTAAAGTATCATAGGATGACAAAGATATGACTTTCTGAAATGTCTTGAACAATCTGAAGATTTGGAGATTGGGTCTAAGTGCCCACTATGGATTTGAGCTGTATCCTATGGATGGGCTCTGGTCCTCCAGTTAACTACAGTCCTTACCATGCCCTGTTGTCCACACACAGCTTTCTTTGACCGCCATCACTACTTTTGTAGGCAACTGGTTTGCAATTCCCAAGAGAGACCACGGACAGTTTGGGAGAGGATCACAAAGTCCTGGGGGGGAAACTGAGAGATGCAGCATTCCAAGGGGAGGGGAGGGACTCACCCCAGCTTCATACAGTGGGTTGCTGAAGTCTGACTCCACGGTGATGGGACTGTAGGAGTGGGAACCAGAAAAGCCAAAGAGCGATTTTCCTTGCAGCCTGGAAAAGGGAGGGGACAGAGGGCTTACCATGTGTGAGTCCTTGAATCCCCTTACCTGATTCTCACACCAGGTATGACACCTGCCCTTGCCAACAGTCAAAAGTAGGGCACTTACTTGGTGTAGTATATGTAAACACCACTGCCGAGGACAATAACCAAGCCTAGGGGCAACAGGATGGCCAAAGCGAGATTCCCACCTTCCAGCTGCCGGGACGGGTCTGTAGTCTGGGTCACTGGGGAGGGAGGAAGGGTAGCAAGTGAGACAAGGCTGGACCCACTCCTGGGCTCTCCCAGCCTCCTGCCCTGGGCCCTGAACCCTTGGCCTCACCCCCTGGGGTCTGGCCTCCTGCCCCCAGCCTTGACCTTGCCCTCCCAACCTGGCCAGGCCTGGTCTTCACCTGCACCCTCACTGACCTTCCAGTTTTCGGTTGTCCAGGAGCTCCTCATAGGCCACTGCAGGGAGAGGAGGGGGAGGGGGACGGGGTCTGAGCCAGAGAGGGAAGGAGACTGGGGAGAGAGCCGAAGCCGGGTGGGGCTGGGTGCACAGCCTGGTTTTCTACCCTCTGTTAGATCTGAACTTGTCTTTCCCTGCTGTGGAGAGGCCATGGGGACTGATGGGCCAGGGTCTGTCCTCCTCCAAACCACTAAAGGTTCA